GTCACAGTGGGAGGTGGAAAGGGAGAGATCCGTGTTTGTCTATGGGCTAGACGAAGCTAAAGGGGAAACTTATGATGAAAGAAAGCAGGAGGAGAAAAAAGCAATTGAAGATATCATGAAGGTGATAGGTGAGGGGGACATGACCCAGGTGGCAAATTTTCGGAGAATCGGGTGGTTCACAAAGAAAAGGAATCGGCCTCTCAAAGTAATTTTCAAGGCAGAATCAACCCGAACCATGATCCTGCAGGAGAAAGCACGGCTGAGAGGCAAGCAGGAGTTCTGTAGTGTGTTCCTCGATCGAGACAGAACACAGGACGAAAGGAAGACAATGATAGAGAGAGTTCAAAAACGAAAGGAGAAATGGGAGGAAATGAAAAAGGAGAGCAGAATAACCCAGGATCAAATGGAAGGACAAGCACACCCCCCAGAAACACCTGCAGAAGGACTCCAGCCACGATACCCCCAAGGCAACTGAAACAATCCAAACCAACCATCACACACCAATCCCTCTGTTTCCACCCCCCGCACCACAGTTACAGTATTAGAACAGAAGTTGAAGGTTTGGTACACAAATGCAGATGGATTAACGAATAAACATGAGGAATGGCAAGAAAGAATCAATGAGAAGTCCCAGACATCATAGCAGTTACAGAAATAAAACTCACGGAGACAATAACAGATGCAATCTTCCCACCAGGATACCAGATCATGAGGAAAGATAGAAGGGGCAGGGGGGAGGTGGGGTTGCTCTGCTCATAAAAAACAGATGGAAATTCGAGAAAATGGAAGGCATAGATGAGACGGGAAAGAGACTACATAGCAGGTACACTTCAGTCTGGGGACACAAAGTGGTCATTGCAGTGATGTATAATCCACCACAGAACTGCAGGAGGCCAAGAGAGGAATATGAAGAGAGCAACAGAGCAATGGTGGACACACTTGCTGAGGTGGCAAGAAGAGCTCACTCCAGCAGAGCAAAGTTGCTGGTTATGGGGATTTCAACCACAGGGAGATTGACTGGGAAAACTGGAGCCACATGGGGGTCCCAAAACATGGAGAGCCAGGATGTTGGACGTGGTGCTGGAAAACCTCATGCACCAACATGTTAAGGACACTACCAGAGTGAGAGGGGAGGATGAACCAGCAAGATTGAACCTTGTGTTCACCCTGGGCAGCTCAGACATTGAGGACATCAAGTATGAGAGTCCCCTAGGAGCTAGCGACCACGTGGTTCTGTGCTTTGAATACATAGTAGAGCTGCAAGTGGAGAGAATAACAGGAGCTGAATGGGAAAAGCCTGACTATAAAAGAGGGGACTACAAAGGGTTGAAGAACTTCCTGCGGGAGGTCCGGTGGGACAGAGAACTGGCAGGAAAGCCAGTAAATGAAATGATGGAATATGTAACAACAAAATGCAAGGAGGCAGTGGAAAGGTTTATTCCCAAGGGCAACAGTAACAACGGGAAGACCAGAACGAGCCTCTGGTTTACCCGACGGTGTAAGGAGGCAAAAACAAAGTGCAATAGAGAATGGAAAAAGTACAGAAGGCAGAGAACACACGAAAATAGGGAGATCAGTCGCAGAGCCAGGAATGAGTACGCACAGGTAAGGAGGGAGGCCCAGCGACAGTATGAAAATGACATAGCATCGAGAATCAAGACTGACCCGAAACTGTTGTATAGCCACATCAGGAGGAAGACAACAGTCAAAGACCAGGTGATCAGATTAAGGACAGAAGGTGGAGAACTCACAAGAAATGATCAGGAGGTATGTGAGGAGCTGAACAGGAGATTTAAGGAAGTTTTTACAGTAGAGACAGGAAGGGCTGTGGGAAGACAGCACAGAAGGGAACATCAGAGGGAATATACCAACAAGTGTTAGATGACATACGAACAACTGAGGAGGAGGTGAAGAAGCTCTTAAGTGACCTTGACACCTCAAAGGCGATGGGACCGGACAACATCTCCCCATGGGTCCTTAGAGAGGAGCAGAGATGCTGTGCGTGCCTCTAACCACAATCTTCAACACATCCCTTGAAACTGGGCAACTACCTGAGAAATGGAAGAACAGCTAATGTAGTCCCCATATTAAGAAAGGAAACAGAAACGAGGCACTAAACTACAGACCTGTGTCTCTGACATGTATTGTGTGCAAAGTCATGGAGAAGATTATCAGGAGGAGAGTGGTCGAACACCTGGAAAGGAACAAGATTATAAATGAAAACCAGCATGGGTTCATGGAAGGCAAATCTTGTATCACAAACCTCCTGGAGTTTTATGACAAGGTAACAGAAGTAAGACACGAGAGAGAGGGGTGGGTAGATTGCATTTTCCTAGACTGCAGGAAGGCCTTTGACACAGTTCCCCACAAGAGATTAGTGCAGAAGCTGGGGATCAGGCGCATGTAAAAGGGAGGGCACTGCAATGGATAAGGGAATACCTGACAGGGAGGCAGCAACGAGTCATGGTACCTGAAGAGGTATCACAGTGGGCGCCTTTACGAGTGGGGTCCCACAGGGGTCAGTTCTAGGACCAGTGCTATTTTTGATATTAGTGAACGACATGATGGAAGGAATAGACTCTGAAGTGTCCCTGTTCGCAGATGACGTGAAGTTGATGAGAAGAATTAAATCGGACGAGGATGAGGCAGGACTGCAAAGAGACCTGGACAGGCTGGACATGTGGTCCAGTAACTGGCTTCTCGAAATTCAGTCCAGCCAAATGCAAAGTCATGAAGATTGGGAGGGGCAAAGAAGACCGCAGACAGAGTATAGGCTAGGTGGACAAAGACTATAGACCTCACTCAGGGAGAAAGACCTTGGGGTGACCATAACACCGAGCACATCACCGGAGGCACACATCAACCAAATAACCGCTGCAGCATACGGGCGCCTGGCAAACTTGAGAATAGCGTTCCGATACCTTAATAAGGAATCGTTCAAGACACTGTACACTGTGTATGTTAGGCCCATACTGGAGTATGCAGCACCAGTCTGGAACCCACACCTGGTCAAGCAAGTCAGGAAGTTAGAGAAAGTACAAAGGTTTGCAACAAGGCTAGTCCCAGAGCTCAAGGGAATGTCGTACGAGGAAAGGTTAAGGGAAATCGGACTGACGACACTGGAGGACAGAAGGGTCAGGGGAGACATGATAACGACATACAAGATACTGCGGGGAATAGACAAGGTGGACAGAGATATGATGTTCCAGAGAGGGGATACAGGGACAAGGGGTCACAACTGGAAGCTGAAGACTCAGACGAGTCACAGGGACGTTAGGAAGTATTTCTTCAGTCATAGAGTTGTCAGCAAGTGGAATAGCCTAGCAAGTGAAGAAGTGGAGGCAGGAACCATACATAGTTTTAAGAAGAGGTATGACAAAGCTCAGGAAGCAGAGAGAGAGAGGATCCAGTAGCGATCAGTGAAGAGGCGGGGCCAGGAGCTGAGTCTCGACCCCTGCAACCACAATTAGGTGAGTACAATTAGGTGAGTACACACACACACGCGCACACACACACACGCACACGCACACACACACACACACACACGCACAGGCACAGGCACAGGCACAGGCACACGCACACGCACACACATACACGCACACGCACGCACACGCACGCACACGCACACGCACACGCACACACACACACACACACACGCACACACACAAGCACACACACACACACACACACACACACACACACACACGCACACGCACACGCACACACACACACACACACACACACACGCACACGCACGCACACGCACACGCACACGCACACACACGCACACGCACACCACACACACACACACACACGCACACGCACGCACACGCACACGCACACACACACACACACACACACACACACACACACACACACACACACATGCAACAGTCAAGGACCAGGTAATCAGGCTGAGGAAAGGTGTGAAGCTCACAAGAAACGACCAAGAAGTTGGTGAGGAGCTCAAAACCAGATTTAAGGAAATATTTACAGTGGAGACAGAAGGAACACTGGGAAGGCAGAACAGAGGGAGACACCAACAAGTGCTGGATGAAATACACACAACCGAGGAGGAGGTGAACAAGTTTCTAGGTGACTTTGATGCCTCAAAGGCGGTGGGACAGGACATCTCTCCATGGGTCCTTAGAGAGGAAACAGAGACGCTGTGAATGCCACTAACCACAATTTTCAACACATCCCTTGAAACTGGGCAACTACCTGAGGTATGGAAGACGGCAAATGTTGTCCCCATCTTTAAGAAAGGAGACAGAAACGAGGTACTAAACTATAGACCAGTGTCACTGATGTGTACAGTATGCAAAGTCACGGAGAAGATTATCAGGAGGAGAGTGATGGATCACCTAGAATGGAACAAGATTATAAACGACAGCCAGCATGGATTCATGGAAGGCAAATCCTGTGTCACAAACCTACTGGAATTTTATGACAAGGTAACAGAAATAAGCCAAGAGAGAGAGGGGTGGGTTGACTGCGTCTTCTTGGACTGCAAGAAGGCCTTTGACACAGTTCCTCACAAGAGATTAGTGCAGAAGCTGGAAGATCAAGCACGTATAACAGGAAGGGCACTGCAATGAATCAGAGAATACCTGACAGGGAGGCAACAGCGAGTCATGGTACGTGATGAGGTAAGTGTTACATGATAACGACATACAAAATACTGCGAGGTGGACAAAGACAGGATGTTCCAGAGATGGGACACAAAAACAAGGGGTCACAATTAGAAGTTGAAGACTCAGATGAGTCAAAGGGATGTTAGGAAGTATTTCTTCAGCCATAGATTTGTCAGGAAGTGGAATAGTCTGACAAGTGATGTAGTGGAGGCAGGAACCATACATAGTTTTAAGGCGAGGCATGATAAAGCTCATGGAGCAGGGAGAGAAAGGACCTAGTAGGGGTCAGTGAAGAGCAGGGGCCAGGAGCTATGACTCCACCCCTGCAACCACAAATAGGTGAGTACACACACACACACACATTACCTTTTGAGACATGGACCACAATAGTGGCCCTCTCAGCATTAGAGGGAGCACACTGGTAACGGCCAGAATGGTCCAAGGTGGCCCTGGCCACCAGAAGAGTGGACACAGTGCGGCCATCTTCTTGTCGTACACTAACCTCCATGCTGAGGTCATTCTCGTAGTTGATCACCTGTTAGATATACCAGTATTATTATCAGTAGTAGTTGTAGTAGCAGTAGTAATAGTAGTAATAGTAGTAAAGTAGTAGCAGTGGTAGTAGCAGTACATGACTCACAAAATCGTAATGACACGTTTGCAAAAAAACCATACCACGGGTGGGGTTAAAACCCGCGATCAGAGAGTCTCAAAACTCCAGACCGTCGCGTCAGCTACTAGACCAGCTAGCTTCAATAAGATCCATCCAACTAGGTATATGTATACACCATAGGAAGCTTAGAATAGGCACCTTCCTATGGTGTAGAAATATACCTAGTTGGATGGATCTTATTGAAGCTAGCTGGCCCAGCGGCTAACGCGACGGTCTGGAGTTTTGAGACTCTGATCGCGGGTTCTAACCCCACCCGTGGTATGCTACTATCAGTAGTGGTAGTAGTAATTGTAGTAGACGTAGTAGTAATAATAGTAGTACTATTAGCAGTGTTGTTAATATTTTTAATATTAGTAATATAAATTAACATAATGAACCCTAAATTCATCAATTTGATCCGAGGAGGAGGAGAGAGGGAGTACATGTACTCTTCCCTTCAGGCAGTACTACCATGAACATGAGTACTCAAGGAACACCCACCCACCTGATCCTTGTGGTACCAGAATATGTACTCTGGTGGTGCTGGACTTGGACTCACCACACATGTCAGGTTCAGTACTCCTCCTTCGTTCATGTACAACTCTGAGGCGTGTACGATCCTGGCCTCAGGAACTGTGTGAAAGACAGAGATGAAACTACTGCCTGCATAAACGTTTCAGCAATAGATACCCAAGTGTTGCACTAGTGTTGTACTGGTGTTGTACTAGTGTTGTACTGGTGTTGCACTAGTGTTGTACTGGTGTTGTACTAGTGTTGTACTGGTGTTGCACTAGTGTTGTACTGGTGTTGTACTGGTGTTGCACTAGTGTTGCACTAGTGTTGTACTGGTGTTGCACTAGTGTTGTACTGGTGTTGTACTGGTGTTGCACTAGTGTTGTACTGGTGTTGCACTAGTGTTGTACTGGTGTTGCACTAGTGTTGTACTGGTGTTGCACTAGTGTTGCACTAGTGTTGCACTAGTGTTGTACTGGTGTTGCACTAGTGTTGTACTGGTGTTGTACTGGTGTTGCACTAGTGTTGTACTGGTGTTGCACTAGTGTTGTACTGGTGTTGCGCTAGTGTTGTACTGGTGTTGCGCTAGTGTTGTACTGGTGTTGTACTGGTGTTGCACTAGTGTTGTACTGGTGTTGCACTAGTGTTGTACTGGTGTTGCACTAGTGTTGCACTAGTGTTGTACTGGTGTTGCACTAGTGTTGTACTGGTGTTGCACTAGTGTTGTACTGGTGTTGCACTAGTGTTGTACTGGTGTTGCACTAGTGTTGTACTGGTGTTGTACTAGTGTTGTACTGGTGTTGCGCTAGTGTTGTACTGGTGTTGCACTAGTGTTGTACTGGTGTTGTACTAGTGTTGTACTGGTGTTGCGCTAGTGTTGTACTGGTGTTGCACTAGTGTTGTACTGGTGTTGTACTAGTGTTGTACTGGTGTTGCACTAGTGTTGCACTAGTGTTGTACTGGTGTTGCACTAGTGTTGCACTAGTGTTGTACTGGTGTTGCGCTAGTGTTGTACTGGTGTTGTACTGGTGTTGCACTAGTGTTGTACTGGTGTTGCACTAGTGTTGTACTGGTGTTGCACTAGTGTTGCACTAGTGTTGTACTGGTGTTGCACTAGTGTTGTACTGGTGTTGAAACTAGTGTTGTACTGGTGTTGCACTAGTGTTGTTACTGGTGTTGCACTAGTGTTGTACTGGTGTTGTACTAGTGTTGTACTGGTGTTGCGCTAGTGTTGTACTGGTGTTGCACTAGTGTTGCACTAGTGTTGTACTGGTGTTGCACTAGTGTTGTACTGGTGTTGCACTAGTGTTGTATGGTGTTGTACTAGTGTTGCACTAGTGTTGTACTGGTGTTGCACTAGTGTTGTACTGGTGTTGCACTAGTGTTGTACTGGTGTTGCACTAGTGTTGTACTGGTGTTGCACTAGTGTTGTACTGGTGTTGTACTAGTGTTGTACTGGTGTTGTACTAGTGTTGCACTAGTGTTGTACTGGTGTTGCACTAGTGTTGTACTGGTGTTGCACTAGTGTTGTACTGGTGTTGTACTAGTGTTGTACTGGTGTTGCGCTAGTGTTGTACTAGTGTTGTACTAGTGTTGTACTGGTGTTGTACTAGTGTACTGGTGTTGCACTAGTGTTGTACTGGTGTTGCACTAGTGTTGTACTGGTGTTGCACTGGTGTTGTACTAGTGTTGTACTAGTGTTGCACTGGTGTTGTACTAGTGTTGTACTGGTGTTGCACTAGTGTTGTACTGGTGTTGTACTAGTGTTGTACTGGTGTTGCACTAGTGTTGTACTGGTGTTGCACTGGTGTTGTACTAGTGTTGTACTAGTGTTGCACTGGTGTTGTACTAGTGTTGTACTAGTGTTGCACTGGTGTTGTACTAGTGTTGTACTGGTGTTGCGCTAGTGTTGTACTGGTGTTGTACTAGTGTTGTACTGGTGTTGCGCTAGTGTTGTACTGGTGTTGTACTAGTGTTGTACTGGTGTTGTACTAGTGTACTGGTGTTGCACTAGTGTTGTACTGGTGTTCCCATAGTGTTGTACTGGTGTTGCACTAGTGTTGTACTGGTGTTGCACTGGTGTTGTACTAGTGTTGTACTAGTGTTGCACTGGTGTTGCACTAGTGTTGTACTGGTGTTGCACTAGTGTTGTACTGGTGTTGCACTGGTGTTGTACTAGTGTTGCACTAGTGTTGCACTGGTGTTGTACTAGTGTTGTACTGGTGTTGTACTAGTGTTGTACTGGTGTTGTACTAGTGTTGTACTGGTGTTGTACTAGTGTTGTACTGGTGTTGCGCTAGTGTTGTACTGGTGTTGTACTAGTGTTGTACTGGTGTTGCGCTAGTGTTGTACTGGTGTTGCACTAGTGTTGTACTGGTGTTGCGCTAGTGTTGTACTGGTGTTGTACTAGTGTTGTACTGGTGTTGTACTAGTGTACTGGTGTTGCACTAGTGTTGTACTGGTGTTGCACTAGTGTTGTACTGGTGTTGCACTAGTGTTGTACTGGTGTTGCACTAGTGTTGTACTGGTGTTGCGCTAGTGTTGTACTGGTGTTGCACTAGTGTACTGGTGTTGCACTAGTGTTGTACTGGTGTTGCACTAGTGTTTCACTGGTGTTGCACTAGTGTTGTACTGGTGTTGCGCTAGTGTTGTACTGGTGTTGCACTAGTGTACTGGTGTTGCACTAGTGTTGTACTGGTGTTGCACTAGTGTTTCACTGGTGTTGCACTAGTGTTGTACTGGTGTTGCGCTAGTGTTGTACTGGTGTTGCACTAGTGTTGCACTGGTGTTGCACTAGTGTTGTACTGGTGTTGCGCTAGTGTTGTACTGGTGTTGCGCTAGTGTTGTACTGGTGTTGCGCTAGTGTTGTACTGGTTTTTGTACTAGTGTTGTACTGGTGTTGTACTAGTGTACGGGTGTTGCACTAGTGTTGTACTGGTGTTGCACTAGTGTTGTACTGGTGTTGCGCTAGTGTTGTACTGGTGTTGCACTAGTGTTGTACTGGTGTTGCACTAGTGTACTGGTGTTGCACTAGTGTTGTACTGGTGTTGCACTAGTGTTTCACTGGTGTTGCACTAGTGTTGTACTGGTGTTGCGCTAGTGTTGTACTGGTGTTGCGCTAGTGTTGTACTGGTGTTGTACTAGTGTTGTACTGGTGTTGCACTAGTGTTGCACTGGTGTTGCACTAGTGTTGTACTGGTGTTGCGCTAGTGTTGTACTGGTGTTGCACTAGTGTTGTACTGGTGTTGTACTAGTGTTTGTACTGGTGTTTGCGCTAGTTTGTACTGGTGTTGTACTAGTGTTGTACTGGTGTTGCGCTAGTGTTGTAACTGGTTTTTGTACTAGTGTTGTACTGTGTTGCACTAGTGTTGTACTGGTGTTGTACTAGTGTTGTACTGGTGTTGCGCTAGTGTTGTACTGGTGTTGCGCTAGTGTTGTACTGGTGTTGCACTAGTGTTGTACTGGTGTTGTACTAGTGTTGTACTGGTGTTGCACTAGTGTTGTACTGGTGTTGCGCTAGTGTTGTACTGGTGTTGCGCTAGTGTTGCACTGGTGTTGCACTAGTGTTGTACTGGTGTTGCACTAATATTGCACTGGTGTTGCACTAGTGTTGTGCTGGTGTTGCACTGGTATTGCACTAGTGTCTCAGTCATCAATATGTCTAGTTTTCCAAAATCACTTAGAGTATAGGCCTAATTGGCACTTGACACTTACCTACTACCTGTAGACTGATGAGGTAGGCTCGTATAGGCTTAGTTGACACTTGACACTCGTAGAGACCAGTGTCATGGATGGTGGGGTGTCGTATTTGTAGCGTCCATTCATTGGTACCTTCACGATGTAGCGCAGAGAACCTGTGATCACTGGTGTAGGTGAACGATCCAACCGTCAGGATGTGTGTGTCCCTGTGTCTGATCCATGACACCTGTAACATAACAATGTGTGATGACTGGTGTAGGTGAACGATCCAACCGTCAGGATGTGTGTGTCCCTGTGTCTGATCCATGACACCTGTAACAAAAACAATGTGTGATGACTGGTGTAGGTGAACGATCCAACCGTCAGGATGTGTGTGTCCCTGTGTCTGATCCATGACACCTGTAACATAACAATGTGTGATGACTGGTGTAGGTGAAACGATCTCACAGCCCAGGATGTGTGTGTCCCTGTGTCTGATCCATGACACCTGTAACATAACAATCTGTAATGACTGGTGTAGGTGAAGGATCTCACCGTCAGGATGTGTGTGTCCCTGTGTCTGATCCATGACACCTGTAACATAACAATGTGTGATGACTGGTGTAGGTGAAGGATCCCACCGTCAGGATGTGTGTGCCCCTGTGTCTGATCCATGATACCTGTAACATAACAATGTGTGATGACTGGTGTAGGTGAAGGATCTCACCGTCAGGATGTGTGTGTCCCTGTGTCTGATCCATGATACCTGTAACATAACAATGTGTGATGACTGGTGTAGGTGAAGGGAAATCTCACCGTCAGGATGTGTGTGTCCCTGTGTCTGATCCATGACACCTGTAACATAACAATGTGTGATGACTGGTGTAGGTGAAGGATCTCACCGTCAGGATGTGTGTGTCCCTGTGTCTGATCCATGACACCTGTAACATAACAATGTGTGATGACTGGTGTAGGTGAACGATCCAACCGTCAGGATGTGTGTGTCCCTGTGTCTGATCCATGACACCTGTAACATAACAGTGTGTGATGACTGGTGTAGGTGAACGATCCAACCGTCAGGATGTGTGTGTCCCTGTGTCTGATCCATGACACCTGTAACATAACAATGTGTGATGACTGGTGTAGGTGAAGGATCTCACCGTCAGGATGTGTGTGTCCCTGTGTCTGATCCATGATACCTGTAACATAACAATGTGTGATGACTGGTGTAGGTGAAGGATCTCACCGTCAGGATGTGTGTGTCCCTGTGTCTGATCCATGATACCTGTAACATAACAATGTGTGATGACTGGTGTAGGTGAAGGATCCCACAGTCAGGATGTGTGTGTCCCTGTGTCTGATCCATGACACCTGTAACATAACAATGTGTGAGGGACTGGTGTAGGTGAAGGATCTCACCGTCAGGATGTGTGTGCCCCTGTGTCTGATCCATGACACCTGTAACATAACAATGTGTGATCACTGGTGTAGGTGAAGGATCTCACCGTCAGGATGTGTGTGTCCCTGTGTCTGATCCATGACACATGTAACATAACAATGTGTGATGACTGGTGTAGGTGAAGGATCTCACCGTCAGGATGTGTGTGTCCCTGGGGTCTGATCCATGACACCTGTAACATAACAATGTGTGATGACTGGTGTAGGTGAAGGATCTCACAGTCAGGATGTGTGTGTCCCTGTGTCTGATCCATGACACCTGTAATATAACAATGTGTGATGACTGGTGTAGGTGAAGGATCCCACAGTCAACGTGTGTGTGTCCCTGTGTCTGATCCATGACACCTGTAACATAACAATGTGTGATGACTGGTGTAGGTGAAGGATCCCACAGTCAACGTGTGTGTGTCCCTGTGTCTGATCCATGACACATGTAACATAACAATGTGTGATGACTGGTGTAGGTGAAGGATCCAACCGTCAGGATGTGTGTGTCCCTGTGTCTGATCCATGATACCTGTAACATAACAATCTGTAATGACTGGTGTAGGTGAAGGATCTCACCGTCAGGATGTGTGTGTCCCTGTGTCTGATCCATGACACCTGTAACATAACAATGTGTGATCACTGGTGTAGGTGAAGGATCCCACCGTCAGGATGTGTGTGCCCCTGTGTCTGATCCATGACACCTGTAACATAACAATGTGTGATCACTGGTGTAGGTGAAGGATCCCACCGTCAGGATGTGTGTGCCCCTGTGTCTGATCCATGACACCTGTAACATAACAATGTGTGATCACTGGTGTAGGTGAACGATCCAACCGTCAGGATGTGTGTGTCCCTGTGTCTGATCCATGATACCTGTAACATAACAATCTCTAATGACTGGTGTAGGTGAAGGATCTCACCGTCAGGATGTGTGTGTCCCTGTGTCTGATCCATGACACCTGTAACATAACAATGTGTGATGACTGGTGTAGGTGAAGGATCCCACAGTCAGGATGTGTGTGTCCCTGTGTCTGATCCATGACACCTGTAACATAACAATGTGTGATGACTGGTGTAGGTGAAGGATCTCACAGTCAGGATGTGTGTGTCCCTGTGTCTGATCCATGATACCTGTAACATAACAATGTGTGATGACTGGTGTAGGGGGAAGGATCTCACAGTCAGGATGTGTGTGTCCCTGTGTCTGATCCATGACACCTGTAACATAACAATGTGTGATGACTGGTGTAGGTGAAGGATCCAACCGTCAGGATGTGTGTGTCCCTGTGTCTGATCCATGACACCTGTAACATAACAATGTGTGATGACTGGTGTAGGTGAAGGATCTCACAGTCAGGATGTGTGTGTCCCGTGTCTGATCCATGACACCTGTAACATAACAATGTGTGATGACTGGTGTAGGTGAAGGATCTCACAGTCAGGATGTGTGTGTCCCTGTGTCTGATCCATGACACCTGTAACATAACAATGTGTGATGACTGATGTAGGTGAAGGATCCCACAGTCAGGATGTGTGTGTCCCTGTGTCTGATCCATGACACCTGTAACATAACAATGTGTGATGACTGGTGTAGGTGAAGGATCTCACAGTCAGGATGTGTGTGTCCCTGTGTCTGATCATGAAAACCTGTAACATAACAATGTGTGATGACTGGTGTAGGTGAAGGATCTCACAGTCAGGATGTGTGTGTCCCTGTGTCTGATCCATGACACCTGTAACATAACAATGTGTGATGACTGGTGTAGGTGAAGGATCTCACCGTCAGGATGTGTGTGTCCCTGTGTCTGATCCATGACACCTGTAACATAACAATGTGTGATGACTGGTGTAGGTGAAGGATCTCACCGTCAGGATGTGTGTGTCCCTGTGTCTGATCCATGACACCTGTAACATAACAATCTGTGATGACTGAAGGATCCCACTGTCAGGATGGGATCCTTCACTGAAGCAATAATTAACAAGTAGCATAAAGGACTTGAGGAAACAGAACCTTAATTAATAGAGGTACACAATATATTATTCGCAAGTAGTGAACTAACTCAAGTGAATCTAGTAGTAGTAATAGTAGTAACTATTATTGAGGAAGATAGTCTTGACAGTGGTCTTTGTACTATGATGAGTGGTCAGAGGTTCCTAGAGGCCAGGAACTTCCACGTGTATTTGCTCGCTGTGATGATCCCAATTTTGTGTCCTTGTTTGGGTGTTTAACCTTCACCTCATCCAAGTGAAAGGTATTTTGTTAGGATGCTTACTAGTATCTTGAGGTTCCCAATAGCCAGGAACACTAGTGAGGCTACTAGCTCTTAACAGACTTGCTGAGGTACAGATGAACTAGTGTTCAGGTCAGCACTAGGGTGACTTTAACAGCCCAACGTTTACTGAAGCAGTGGCTGTTGTGTTGTAGGTAATATTTACACTGTTCTCTATGAACCTTCTCAGTCACCTTTATCGTGGAATAACCCAATATTAATGATGATAATAATATATTCTCCATAAAGTCCTGACACGGGTCTCTGCCAGGTGATGTCTCGTCTCTGACTCTGGAATGATGGCTGCACACTGGGATAATGATCTAACTCTGCTGGTGGAAGGAGGCTGACGTGGGGTTGCTGTCTCATATCAACGATCAACCCTAAATGCTCCAGTGTCTGGAGATGTTGGTGGTTATCTGCTTGTTTTGTCTCGAGATGACTGGCACGCCAATTATTATCTGGTACACAAACAACCCGCACATAGAAGAGAGGAGCATACGACGACGTTTCGGTCCGACTTTGACCATTTACAAAGTCACACTAACGAGAAGTGGAGCAGGACGGGTATATATAGGGCATATACATATTGTGTATCGTTCCAGTCACGGTATTGTGCTTTTCTTTTGCTATTATCTGGTAGTCAACTGTAGTTGCTTCATCCACGGACTCATTTCCTTTGATAGAAACAAAGTATCCAGTTACTAGTGACCCTCCCTGTGTATCTACAGTAGCTACTGGAGGAGAGACAGGATAGTAGCAGTAAGCCTGACAGTGCCTTGGGGCTGCTTATGTCGAAGTGATGACGATGATAGCTCCAGTGTGTAACACTAGCTGCTGGTCACCATGTATCGTTGCTTAGTTCCACCCATAAACTCCACTTGCAAAATCAAACAATGGTTGGAAAGTCTAGACATTAGTGTGGCTGTCGTGGTACATTCCTCTGCCTGCCCGCTTATTTTCTGGGTCAACTGACTCATAGCTCAACTAGGAACTCAATAGACATTCTCATATACATGTAACACAACTATCACTAATACCATTCACAGTAGAGTTAGTGATTGGATTTCTCATCTGCATTCATGTATCAACAATAATGGTGGACATACTGAGTACACCTTACATAAATATAACCTTCTATCACGGCCTTTATCATATTTTCCTTTGGTATCAGACTCACGGAACACCTGTATATAGTAGGAAGGAAGATCGTGTGTCAGGTAAAGTTGAGGTGCCGTTACAACAAGTACGGAAGAGAGTGGAAATATAAACACATATGCAGTATAATGTGATCCTTTATTGACTACGTTTCGCCCACACAGTGGACTTTTTCAAGTCACAAACAGATCTTCCAAGTACGGAAGAGCTGGTAGGCCTCCTGCAACACTCCACTAATTAACAGGCCTCCTGCAACACTCCACTATTTAACAGGCCTCCTGCAACACTCCACTACTTAACAGGCCTCCTGCAACACTCCACTACTTAACAGGCCTCCTGCAACACTCCACTACTTAACAGGCCTCCTGCAACACTCCACTACTTAACAATGTTGATATGAGGGCTCAGCTGTACACATGTGTTCAGGTAATATTTGTTTGTGTTCTTAAATAACATGTGAATGATGTGGACAAGTTATCAATACCGTAACTACCATACTGGTGGACAAGTTATCAATACCTGTACTACCATACTGGTGGACAAGTTATCAATACCTGTACTACCATACTGGTGGGACAAGTTATCAATACCTGTACTACCATACTGGTGGACAAGTTATCAATACCTGTACTACCATACTGGTGGACAAGTTATCAATACCTGTACTACCATACTGGTGGACAAGTTATCAATACCTGTACTACCATACTGGTGGACAAGTTATCAATACCTGTACTACCATACTGGTGGACAAGTTATCAATACTGTACTACCATACTGGTGGACAAGTTATCAATACCTGTACTACCATACTGGTGGACAAGTTATCAATACCTGTACTACCATACTGGTGGACAAGTTATCAATACCTGTACTACCATACTGGTGGACAAGTTATCAATACCTGTACTACCATACTGGTGGACAAGTTATCAATACTGTACTACCATACTGGTGGACAAGTTATCAATACCTGTACTACCATACTGGTGGACAAGTTATCAATACCTGTACTACCATACTGGTGGACAGTTATCAATACTGTACTACCATACTGGTGGACAAGTTATCAATACCTGTACTACCATACTGGTGGACAAGTTATCAATACCTGTACTACCATTACTGGTGGACAAGTTATCAATACCTGTACTACCATACTGGTGGACAAGTTATCAATACCTGTACTTACCATACTGGTGGACAAGTTATCAATACCTGTACTACCATACTGGTGGAACAGTTATCAATACCTGTACTACCATACTGGTGGACAAGTTATCAATACCTGTACTACCATACTGGTGGACAAGTTATCAATACCTGTACTACCATACTGGTGGACAAGTTATCAATACCTGTACTACCATACTGGTGGACAAGTTATCAATACCTGTACTACCATACTGGTGGACAAGTTATCAATACCTGTACTACCATACTGGTGGACAAGTTATCAATACCTGTACTACCATACTGGTGGACAAGTTATCAATACCTGTACTACCATACTGGTGGACAAGTTTATCAATACCTTACTACCATACTGGTGGACAAGTTATCAATACCTGTACTACCATACTGGTGGACAAGTTATCAATACCGTAACTACCATACTGGTGGACAAGTTATCAATACCTGTACTACCATACTGGTGGACAAGTTATCAATACCTGTACTACCATACTGGTGACAAGTTATCAATACCTGTACTACCATACTGGTGGACAAGTTATCAATACCTGTACTACCATACTGGTGGACAAGTTATCAATACCTGTACTACCATACTGGTGGACAAGTTATCAATACCTGTACTACCATACTGGTGGACAAATTATCAATACCTGTACTACCATACTGGTGGACAAGTTATCAATACCTGTACTACCATACTGGTGGACAAGTTATCAATACCTGTACTACCATACTGGTGGACAAGTTATCAATACCGTAACTACCATACTGGTGGACAAGTTATCAATACCTGTACTACCATACTGGTGGACAAGTTATCAATACCTGTACTACCATACTGGTGGACAAGTTATCAATACCTGTACTACCATATGGTGGACAAGTTATCAATACCTGTATACCATACTGGTGGACAAGTTATCAATACCGTAACTACCATACTGGTGGACAAGTTATCAATACCTGTACTACCATACTGGTGGGCAAGTTATCATACCTGTACTACCATACTGGTGGACAAGTTATCAATACCTGTACTACCATACTGGTGGACAATGTTATCAATACCTGTACTACCATACTGGTGGACAAGTTATCAATACCTGTACTACCATACTGGTGGACAAGTTATCAATACCTGTACTACCATACTGGTGGACAAGTTATCAATACCTGTACTACCATACTGGTGGACAAGTTAATCAATCCTGTACTACCATACTGGTGGACAAGTTATCAATACCTGTACTACCATACTGGTGGACAAGTTATCAATACCTGTACTACCATACTGGTGGACAAGTTATCAATACCTGTACTACCATACTGGTGGACAAGTTATCAATACCTGTACTACCATACTGGTGGACAAGTTATCAATACCTGTACTACCATACTGGTGGACAAGTTATCAATACCTGTACTACCATACTGGTGGACAAGTTATCAATACCTGTACTACCATACTGGTGGACAAGTTATCAATACCTGTACTACCATTACTGGTGGACAAGTTATCAATACCTGTACTACCATACTGGTGGACAAGTTATCAATACCTGTACTACCATACTGGTGGGCAAGTTATCAATACCTGTACTACCATACTGGTGGACAAGTTATCAATACCTGTACTACCATACTGGTGGACAAGTTATCAATACCTGTACTACCATACTGGAGGACAAGTTTGTATAAAACCATATATTAATAGAGGGGTCCAGGAGCTGTAGGTCAACTCACAGTCTTGGTGCCCAGGTTATTGACCCGACAGACCAGGTGGGCAGTCTGACCCTCCACGGCTGACACGTTAGAGGTCACGCTGGGGTCAAACACGGGGTCAAACAGCGTGTTGAGGTAGTCACTCCAAGAAGCAGTGTCCACGTCCACGTTGTCATCATCGTCACCCACGCCCACGCCCACGCCCACACCCACACCCATACCAGCATCGTCTGAGAGTGCCAGAAGAGTACTGGAGGCTGGTAAGCCGGCGCTGTAGATGTCTGGTATTGCTGTAATGATAGGGAGAGAAGTGTGTTACTGTTACTACTGTTATTGTTACTGTTATTGTTACTACTGTTACTGTTACCGCTGTTACTGTTGTTACTGTGGATGTCTAGTATTGCTGCAGTGGTAAGGAGAGGTAAATGTTACTGCTGTTACTGTTACTGCTGTTATTGTTACTGTTATTGTTACTACTGTTACTGTTACCGCTGTTACTGTTGTTACTGTTACTGATGTTGACATTTTCGCTGCTGCTGTTGGTACTGCTGCTGCTGCTGCTGCTGCTGCTGCTGCTGCTGCTGTTGCTACTGCTGCTGCTGCTGCTGCTGCTGCTGCTGCTGCTGTTGCTACTGCTGCTGCTGTTGCTGCTGCTGCTGCTGTTGCTGTTGCTGCTGCTGCTGCTGTTGCTACTGCTGCTGCTGCTGCTGCTGCTGCTGCTGTTGCTACTGCTGCTGCTGTTGCTACTGCTGCTGCTGCTGCTGCTGCTGCTGCAGTTGCTGCTGCTTGCTGTTGCTGCTGCTGCGCTGCTGTAGACTACTGCTGCTGCTGCTACTGCTGCTGCTGAAGATGCTGCCTGCTGCTAGCTGCTGCTGCAAACTGCAGCTGCAGCTGCTGCTGTTGCTGCTGCTGCTGATGCTGCTGCTGCTGCTGCTGTTGCTAGCTACTGCTGCGGCTGCTACTACTGCAGCAGATGATGCTGCTGCTGCTGCTGCGGCTGCTACTGCTGCTTCAATGCTGGCTTGCTTTCCTGCTACGGCTACAGCTGCTGCTGCTGCTGCTACTGCTGCTGCTGCTGCTGCTGCTGATGGCGCTATCTGATGCTGCTGCAGCTGCTTGCTGCTTGCTGCTGCTGCTGCTGCTGATGCGGCTGGCTGCTGGCTGCTGCTCTGCTACTGCTGCTGCTGGCTGCTGCTGCTGCTGCTGCTGCTACTGCTGCGCTGCTGCTGCTGCTGCTGCGCTGCTTGCCTGCTACTGCTGCTGCTAGCGCTGCTGCTTGCTGCTACTGCTGCTGCTACTGCGCTGCAGGCTTCTGAACGCGCAACTGCTCTGCTCCTGCTACTCGCTGCTGCTGCTAACTACTGCTGCTGCTGCTGCTGCTGCTGCATGCGCTACTGAGCTGCTGCTGCTTGCTGCTGCTGCTGCTGCCAGCTGCTACTGCTGCAGCTCGCTGCTGATGCAGCTGCTGATGCTGCTGCTGCTACTTGCTGCGCTACTGCTGCTGCTACTGCTGCTGCTGCTTGCTGAAGCTCCTTTCTACTGCTGCTGCTGCTACGCTGCTGCTGCTGCTTTGCAGCTACTACTGCTTGCTGCTGATGCTGCTGCTGCTGCAGCTGCTGCGGCTGCTGCTTGCTCTGATGCTGCTGCGGATGCTGCTGCTGCTGCTGCTGCTGATGCTCTGCACTGCTGCGTGCTGCTTAACTGCTGCTGCTGATGCTGCTGCTGCGCTGCTGCTGGCTGCTGCTGCTGCTGCTGCTGTTTGCTACTGCGGCTGCTGCTGCTGCTGGCTGCTGCTGCTGCTGCTGCTACTACTCTTATTCTACTGCTGGTGTTGTTGTTGCTTTCTGCTGCTGCTGCTGCTCTGCTGCTGCTGCTGCTGCGCTGTTGCTGCTGCTGCTGCTGCTGCTGCTGCTGTGGCTGCTGCTGCTGCTGCTGCTGTTGCTAGCTGCAGATGCTAACCTGCTCTGCTGCTTGCTGCTGCTGCTGCTGCTTTGCTGATTTGCGACCTGCTGCTGCTGCTGCTCTGCTGCTCCTGCTGCTGTTGCTACTGCTGCTGCTGCAGCTGCCTGCAGCTGCTGCTGCTGTCTCTGAGCTGCTGCGACTGCTGCTGCTACTGTCTGCTGTACTGCTGCTGTTGCTGCTGATTGCACCTGCTACTGCTGCTGCTGCTACTGCTGCTGCTGCTGCTGCTGCTTTGCTGCTGCTGCTGCTGCTGTTGCTGCTGCTGCTGCTGCTGATGCTGCTGCTGCTGTCTGGCTGCTGCGCTGCTGCTGTTGCTACTGCTGCTGCTGCTGCTGCTGCTGCTGCTACTACTGCTGCTGCTGCTGCTGCTGCATCATCATGTTCGTTCACAATGTTTCCAACACTCACAGTAAGTCTGTGGAACACCAACACTCACAGTAAGTCTGTGGAACACCAACACTCACAGTAAGTCTGTGGAACACCAACACTCACAGTAAGTCTGTGGAACACCAACACTCACAGTAAGTCAGTGGAACACCATCACTCACAGTAAGTCTGTGGAACACCAACACTCACAGTAAGTCAGTGGAACACCATCACTCACAGTAAGTCAGTGGAACACCAACACTCACAGTAAGTCTGTGGAACACCAACACTCACAGTAAGTCTGTGGAACACCAACACTCACAGTAAGTCAGTGGAACACCATCACTCACAGTAAGTCTGTGGAACACCAACACTCACAGTAAGTCTGTGGAACAACCAACACTCACAGTAAGTCCTGTGGAACACCAACACACACATAAGTCAGTGGAACACCATCACTCACAGTAAGTCATGGAACACCACACTCACCGTAAGTCTGTGGAACACCAACACTCACAAGTAAGTCAGTGGGGAAAATAACACCAACACCAAAGTAAGCCTGAGGAACACCATCACTCACAAGTAAGTCAGTGTAACACAACACTCCCGTAACAGTAATCTGTGGAACACCAACACTCACAGTAAGTCTGTGGAACACCAACACTCACAGTAAGTCATGAACACCATCACTCACAGAAGTCTGTGGAACAACCAACACTCACAGTAAGTCCTGTGGAACACCAACACTCACAGTGAATCTTGGAACACCACACACACAGTAATCAGAGAACACCATCACTCCAGTAAGATCAGTGAACACCACACTCACAGTAGTCTGGTGGAACACCAACACTCACATAAGTCAGTGGAACACCAACACTCACAGTAAGTCAGTGGAACACCATCAACTCACAGTACGGAGGTCATTGGAACACCAACACTCAACAGTAAGAGTCAGTGGAACACCAACACTCACAGAGTCAGTTGAACACCCAACACTCACAGTAAGTCAGTGGAACACCAACACACTCACAGTAAGTCTGTGGGAACACCATCACTCACATAAGTCTGTGGAACACCAACACTCACAGTAAGTCTGTGGAACACCAACACTCACAGTAATGTTCAGTGAACACAACACTCACAAAAGTCAGTGGAACACAACACTCACAGTAAGTCAGTGGAACACCAACACTCACAGTAAGTCAGTGGGGAACACCAAACACTCACAAGTAAGTCAGTGGAACACCAGCACTACTTCACAGTAAGTCAGTGGAACCCAACACTCACAGTAAGTCAGTGGAACGACCATCACTCCACAGTAAGTCAGTGGAACACAACACTCCCAGTAAGTCAGTGGAACAGCCAACACTCACAGTAAGTTCAGTGAACACCATCACTCACAGTAAGTCCTGGGAACACCAACACTCACAGTAAGTCTGTGGACACCAACACTGCACAGTAAGTCTGTGAACAACAACAACACCGTCACAGTAAGTCTGTGGAACACCAACACTCACAGTAAGTCAGTGGAACACCATCACTCACCAGTAAGTCTGTGATCACCAACACTTACAGTAATTCTGTGGAACACCAACACTCACAGTAGTCTGTGGAACACCAACACTCAACAGTAATCTGTGGAACACAACACTCACCAGTAAGTCAGGTGGACACCAACACTCACAGTAAGTCTGTGGAACAACCATCAACCTCCACAGTAAGTCAGTGGAACAACCACACATCACAGTAAGTCTTGGAACACCAACACTCACATAAGTCAGTGGAACACAACACTCACAGTAGTCAGTGAACATCCACACTCACAGTAATCGTGGAACTCCATCACTCACAGTAAGTCATGGAACGACCACCACTCACAGTAATCTGTGAACACCAACACTCACAGTAAGTCAGTGGAACACGCCACACTCACGAGTAAGTCAGGTGGAACACCAACACTCACAGTAAGTCTGTTGAACACCAACACTCACAGTAAGTCTGTGGAACACCATCAACACCATAAGTCAGTGGAACACCATCACTCACAGTAAGTCTGTGGAACCCCAACACTCACAGTAAGTCCTGTGGAACACCAACACCACAGTAAGTCTGAGGAACACCACCCACTCACAGTAAGTCGGGAACACCATCACTCACAGTAAGTCGTGGAACACCACACTCACAGTAAGTCTGTGGAACACCAACACTCACAGTAAGTCTGTGGAACACCATCACTCACAGTAAGTCTGTGGAACACCAACACTCACAGTAAGTCTGTGGAACACCAACACTCACAGTAAGTCAGTGGAACACCAACACTCACAGTAAGTCTGTGGAACACCAACACTCACAGTAAGTCTGTGGAACACCATCACTCACAGTAAGTCTGTGGAACACCAACACTCACAGTAAGTCAGTGGAACACCAACACTCACAGTAAGTCTGTGGAACACCAACACTCACAGTAAGTCATTGGAACACCATCACTCACAGTAAGTCTGTGGAACACCATCACTCACAGTAAGTCTGTGGAACACCAAAACTCACAGTAAGTCAGTGGAACACCATCACTCACAGTAAGTCTGTGGAACACCAACACTCACAGTAAGTCTGTGGAACACCAACACTCACAGTAAGTCTGTGGAACACCAACACTCACAGTAAGTCTGTGGAACACCATCACTCACAGTAAGTCTGTGGAACACCATCACTCACAGTAAGTCAGTGGAACACCAACACTCACAGTAAGTCTGTGGAACACCAACACTCACAGTAAGTCTGTGGAACACCAACACTCACAGTAAGTCTGTGGAACACCAACACTCACAGTAAGTCATTGGGAAGGTGAGGTTGAGGAGGGGGAGGCAGATGGACAGGGATGGAAGGGAGGAAAAGGAGTGGGAAGGCAGATGGACAGGATGGAAGGGGGGAAGGAGGGAGGCAGATGGACAGGGATGGA